TCTCTTCCTTGTGATCCTTCTGTAAGGGGATGTCTAATTGTCTCCAGATGGGCTTCGGGTCTCCACTTTGCACGCCCCCTCATTCCCACTGATATTATTTTTTTGTTCTGGGTGTTTGATGCCTGATCCCTGATCCCATTGACACCTCATGATCACACCGGCTGGTGTGCTTCTTCCATGTGGGCTTTGTTACTTATCAGTTAGATGGCTGCTTATTTATCTTCAAGCCTTGAAGACTCCAGCCTAGAGCAGAGGTTTTATGGGTTTAAGGATTCCCTGAAGTGGTGGGCAGCATTGGGTACTAGCACACAATTCTGGAGTGCAGGAGCCTTAGGGTTCAACAGAACCGTAAGTGAAGAAGGCGAACCACTCATTCCAACATGAATTCTTAAGAATAAAAGCGTTCTTAGCCATTCAAGACATTACATGGTAAACATCTGGCAAAAGTACACGTTTCAGCCTGGGAAATGTGTAATTTGCAATTCATGGAAAAACACTGAGCTTGCTCACGGATGGCTTCATGCCCTTCCATTTGTTAAACATGCCAGGGAAGTGATGAGAATGGCAATTGTCCCTTCTGAGCAGAGACGGCTCATCCTGACCTGGGGTTATGCTGGCTCTGGAGTCCTATCAGGAATGGGTGGAAATGAATAATAAAGAGTCTTGAAAGATTTTTGAAACATAGTCAAAGTTCACTGCCATCGAGTTGATTTTGACTCATGGTGGAACTGCCTTGTGGGTTTCTGAAACTTCCTCATGGTTTGGTTTGCTTTTAAAAATAGTCATCTTGGCAGACAGTTCACATATCATACAATTCAATCATGAGATCATGTGAAGACTGGTGTGACTAGTCACCACAATTCAATTTTAGAACATTTTATTCTCGTACTCATTGTTTCTAGCTCCCTATTTCCTCCAATGCCCCTTGCCATGTCCCTAGGTAATGATTAAATCAGTCACTGTCTCTAGCCTGAATCTCATGTACAGAAAATCATACAAAACACAAGCAAGAAGCAGATCAACAAACCAAAACCCACCACCAACCAAACAAAACAGAGCAAAACCTCAATTGAAAAGGAATCAGAAGATATTAAAAATGGAAGCAACTTTAAAATGAGTGAATAGGGAGAATCCATGAGAAGGTGTTTCATGTTAGCCGAAGGACATCGCCGTAAGCCACTTCCCACTGTTCTGACAGCAAGGCTGTTCACATCCTTGGGCTGTCTTCAGAAGGGAGTCACTGGAGGCTCAATCATGTGTGCACCCTGCAAGTGGATTTGGGCTTCCACTGTCACCAATAGCCTTCGGTAAA